TACGTGAATACCAACATCTCTCTGCTTCTCTGAGGTTGAATAACTTGCCTGGTCATATCTATGAAGAAAGGAGAGGTGTGAGTTGGGGCAATCAGATTCAGGCACACAGACACCTGAGTCACCAGAGAGGAGGCACTGGTCCTGAGTCCTTAGGATCCCAACTCCACATACCTTTTACTGCAAATCAGAGCTCCCAAATAAGGAAGCACGTGAGAGCCAAACTCACTGCATGGACACTCTTTCAAAGCATGATTAACCACCTTTTGGATGTCAAGGGATTTACTACTGATTTTTCTGAGGAAGGGAGCAACAATATAAAGCAGGGGCTGTGCTCGTGGCCCACACCCGTAAGCCCAGCAGGGGGGACTGTGAGTTCAAGGCCAGCCTAGGCTGGGCTAGACAGCAAGACTGACCCAGCAGATACCACCACCGAAAGCAGTAATGGCAGCCTCAGTGCCCCCTTGCCCCGAGCGAAGCACTGTCCTCTCCGTCCTCACAGAAAGACACTCGCTATCCCCAGAAAAGAAAGAGACGGAGTGGGAAAGCAGCTCCCTGCATTGATGCAGTGAGCAACCGAGCAACCCAAGGAGCTGGAACCTGAACCCAGGGGAGTGGGGAGGAGGGCGCGTGCGCGGGGGCGTGGGGGCGTGGCTAGCCACTACAGACATAGCTTCCACAGACTCCCGGGAGCTGCTTACTTCTGTGCGCTGACGTGGTAGGAGAGCAGGCGGAAGTTGCCATCAGGAGGGATGAAGGAGAGGATGCGCTCAGATTCCCAGCGCTTGAAACGGACACAGGGATGGAAGCTAACGTCGTCCAGCAATCTGGGGTTCTGCGGCACCAGGCAGGGAAGAAGAAGGAGAAGAGGTAGGGGTGAGCTCCCGGGTTTCCTTTGAACAGCAATCCAGACGACATTTTCACTAGGCACGTACAAGCGTCCCGAGCCCACGGAGGCCTCAGGGCCACCCTGATTGCCTCTTGTGCGAGTTCTTATCACTCCTTCCAGAAACACCTCATCTCCCATGCCACAAAAAGTTAACACCGGCTGTGGACAGTACCATGAAGGACAGGGTGAGGTCTGGCATCCCGGTCAGCTTCACACAGGCGTCAATCACCCCCTGGATCTCAGCGGTGACTGTGGAACCTAACAGGAAAAGGACAAGGACGCTAGAGACCACAGAAGCCTGTGTTCCTCCGGCCTCTCTCTCTGTTCTCCCTCCCTCCTGCCCTCCTCTCTTCCGTCTAGACACCCAGGCCTTCTGTCCAGTCCATCTGTCCATCATCCAAGCTCCGGTCTGAGAACTCTGATGAAAGCGTGGAGACAGAGACCAGTGAGAGATGAGGAGGCCTAGACGGGTTTCCATCTAGTGCCACAGCCACAGAGCGCCAGCACCTGAACTGGTACTGCAGAAGATCTGTGAGACCCGTGGTCCTCACCCTACAGGTCTCTACAAACAACTCCCCTCCCTCCCCCCTCCTCCCTCTCCCCTCCTTCCTCCCTTCCTTCATCTTCCTAGCAGCTCTTCCTCAGCAGGCCCAGGTCTCTGCAGGTTATAAAATGCAGCATGTGTACTCAGGCCTTGACTTCCTCTCTTTCTTTCTCCCTGCAGTACTTAGCCTTCCCCAAGGCTTCAGTCTCGATCACACCCAATTATGTGCATTGTGTTTCTTTGATTGGAAAAAATTGTTTCCACACGATATATTCTGATCATGTTGTTCCCATCTTCCAACTCCTCCCAGAGTCTACCCACCTCCCTCCCTACCCAACTCTAGGCCTCTCTCTTTAAAAAACAAATAATCAAAACATAAACAAAAAAACCCACAAAACCACAAAATGGGAAACCAAAATAGGCAAGCAAAAGTCCAGTAAAACAAAACATGCCCAAACGAAGCCCAGTGAGCCAAAAGGTCAACCATTTGACCATTGAGTACATTTTGCGTTGGCCATCTACAGATGGCACAGAGTCTGCCCTTTAGTGTGGTTAATACCCCAGTGAGACGCCAATGGAGAAGACTACTTTTTCCTTTGCAAGTCACTGTCAATTGCAGACAGCTCCTGATTTGGGGTAGAAGCCCATGTCCACTTCCCATCTCAGCACTGGAACCCTGTCTGTCTGTCCGGACCCATGCAGATCCTGTGATGCACTGGAATTCTGTCTGTCCGGACCCGTGCAGATACTGCGATGCACTGGAACCCTGTCTGTCTGTCCAGACCCGTGCAGATACTGTGATGCACTGGGACTCTGTCTGTCTGTCCTGCACCTGTGCAGATCCTGTGATGCACTGGGACTCTGTCTGTCTGTCCTGCACCTGTGCAGATCCTGTGATGCACTGGGACCCTGTCTATCTGTCTGTCACGTGCGCAGGTCCTGTGATGCACTGGGACTCTGTCTGTCTGTCTGTCACCTGCGCAGGTCCTGTGATGCACTGGGACTCTGTCTATCTGTCTATCCCTGTGCAGGTCTTATGGTGCACTGGGACTCTGTCTGTCTGTCTGTCCTGCACCTGTACAGATCCTGTGGTGCACTGGGACCCCGTCTGGCTGGCACCTGTGCAGGCCCTGTGGCACACTGCGTTTTCAAGCCCAGCCTCACGGCTGACTGAAGGATTCCTCTCCAGGTGTCGCCAAGGCTGCAAGCTTGTTGCAACAGCAAATTCGCTCTGACTCCCTGACGGCTCCCATTCCTGTCATTTAAGGTGACACTATCCACCCGGCTGCCTGAGCCAGGTACACATGGCTACTCCCACCTCGTCCCTTGCCACATCTAGTTAATACCATTTTTTGTAGTTCAGGCTAGCCTCAAACTTGCTCCTTCTGCCTCACTTCCTAGTAATGGGAAGGCGGGTATGCACCGCTGTCTGGGATCCACTCCTCTCTGTCCAGGAATATTTACTCACCTATATTCTGAGCCAGGACTTCAGGCACAGCCTTCCAATGTTGCCACTGCCCCCAGTCCACCTCACTGTAGATCAACCTCCCACACTGCGACACGACTGGCTACTCACTGTATTTTTCTATTTGTTTGTTTTTAAAGACAGGGTCTCACTATCTAGCCTTGACTGGCCCGGAACTCACAATATAGACCAGGCTGGCCTTGAATTCAGAGATCCACCTGCCTTTGTCTCCCTAGAGTGCTGGAATAAAGGCCTGTGCCATCAAGCCTGATATAGACTGCCACTCTAATAAAAAAAAAAAAAGTTTAAAAAAATACTTTTCCAGTATTTGTATTCTATGTGTATGGGTGTATTGTCTGCTTGTATGGTGTGGACCACGTGTGCATGGTGCCTATGGTGGCCAGAAGAGGGCATCGGATCCTCTGGAACTGGAGCTATAGACAGATGGAAGCCACCATGTCAGGGCTGGGAACTGAGCCCACAGAGGGTCAGCCAGGGCTCCTAACTGCTGAACCATCTCTCTAGGGTCAATTAAAAACATTTTTTTTTGCAGTGACATAAATTATCAAAATGTAAAAACCTTATCGCTCAGGGAATTTCTGAACATTTTAAATACCATCCACATCAAACGTGGAAATTTTCTAACATGACAGCATGTGCCTCCCTGTCCTTCCTAGCTAGTGACATCCTCTTCTCCCTAATTCTGACTTCTATAGCCTTAATTGCACCTGCTTTCAAGGGTCACTAAATGCAATTCACTGTATGGGATAACGTATACGTCTGACTTTTTTCTCAACAGTGTAAGAGACATGTTGATGGGTGGATCAGTAACTTATTCTCTTTTTTTCACTACTGTATAGTGCTCTGGGTGACTGTATCAAGGCTTATTAATCATATTTTTTTTTTTAGTGGATGGTTAGGTTATTTCTCATTTGTGTTTATATGAAGAAATACTGTGATGCCTTAGTTTTTTTTCTTTTTTTTCAGATTTATTTATTTATTATGTACACAGTGTTCTGTCTGCATATATGCCTGCATGCTAGAAGAGGGTGCCAGATCTCATTACAGATGGTTGTGAGCCACCATGTGGTTGCTGGGAATTGAACTCAGGACCTCTGGGAGAACAGCCAGTGCTCTTAACCACTGAGCCATCTCTCCAGCCCCTGACGCCCGAGTTTTAAGGTCTCACTATTTCCTTTGTCTGGGCTCATTTCTGTGACCCCTGCTGTGGAGGCAGCTCCCAAGCAGTGCAGATGGGAGGCCATCATCGCTGCACTCTGCTGACAGAGCAGCCGCCTCTGCACGAAGGCCGAGCCCATCTGCCGGCACTTCTTCACCTGGACCACCTTTCCACGGCCACAGACTAACGGCCTGGGTCCTGTTAGGGGTTGGATGGTCAGACTCTCCCCGTGCTCTGACCACGTTCCCAACAGCGGACAGTGGAGGGGTAAGTGCAGGAATGTGAAGGACCCCCAAGTCCTCAGCCCCAGGACTCCTACTTCTATTTACTTAACTGAAGAAAACACAAAACAAAAACAGGGAAAAACCTGTCATTATGACTAGTTCTGCCTGCAGACCTGGGAAGCCGATACTTTCAAACAGAAAATCTAACCAACAAGAGCTTACTTGGTACTTCCTTCCCACCCCCTTCCCCCACTTCTTTCATGGTTTCTTGAGACAGGGTCTGGCTGCATAGCCCCAAATGGCCTGGAAATCTTGATCCTCCAGCCTCAGTTCAGTGATGGGTATGCACCGCCATCTTTGGCCTGGTCCCTCAGCGTAACCCTTCCCCACCTTGTGCCTTGCCGCAAAACTCAGTCCTGCTACTCCGTTTCTCATTCAAGAGAAGTTCCACAAAGGGCGACGTGTCAGGGTCTCGGCTGCATGGTCACGCACACTCAAGAAAAGCAGCCCCCCCCCCCACACACACACACTCAGAGAGCAACTTCTCGGCACCCACCTGACTTGTCGATGATGGCGTCTATCTCTTCAACCACATCGAAATAGGCCTCGTTGTTGGTATACTTCACCCCAGTCCGTCGCCAAGGCACCACCGACAGCTGCCCGGTCGGAAGCTGGTCCCCCACATTGGTGCTTCCTGAGACAATTAATACTGGTGACTAAAATCCAATTGGTATTTTAATGCCACTTCAAATCTAGCCACCTAAGGACATGCCCCTTGGAGTTCCTACCCCCTTGTTATACCATTTGGAAGGTAAGCCTTTCGCTTCTCCTATGTAGGACAGCCTGGTCTAATTTTAAAGTCCATTGTCGCCATCTGGTCTGCTGCCTCGAGGAAAGGTTTAAAGGAAGCCACCTGAGAAGCGGATATCATATTTGGTTTGGAGAGCAACGAGGACCGAAGGATCTCAAATTCCACAGCAGCTTAGATAAGGTACCGTGTTTCTGGGGGGGCGGGCACCCACACACTGACACACCGTCACCATCAGTGAGACAGTATTCTAGTTTAAGGCAGGTTCTCAGGCACAGCGATGGAAGGTGGAAGTGTTTTTACATCAACAGGATCTGCCCCATGCCAACAGTGAACAGAAGAACGAAGCCAGACCCTGCCGGGTCCTTGCTGCTGTACCGCCTCCTCGCTGCCCTGCTCCCGGACATCAAAGCTTATTTTAGAGAGAACTGATGTCGGTAACCAATTGAAATCCTGTTTCCTTTCCCACCGCCTGTATCTCTTTAAAGAAAGAACTCCGTAACACAGGTATAGTCGTCAGCACGTGTATAAAACATGCCAGCTTTTCAAAACGAGGGTCTCAAAGGAATTTTTTCTACAGCTGAGTGAGATCGGGGCTCTAAAAACTTTCTAACAGAGCACTCACAAAGATTTTAAGGTTTAAACCAAACTCAGACAATTGCAAAAAAACCAAAACAATAAATTGGTTACTGGGCCAGTACTATGCTTTTTAAATCATCAAAATGGAATTGCATGTATCTGGTACAACATTTTCTCTCACTTTCCTTAAAACAAATTGCAGATCTGACTTGTCTCCTCCAATGTGGTGACTCAGTTTCTGTCTCATGAGCCACACGAACTTAATGCGTCTGGACGGATGATAGGGCAAACCAACCCTCCTGTGATGCCTTCACAGAACTAACGGTCTTGCTACTCTTCATACTCGTATTTTCAAAAATTAGTTTGTCAAATTCTCTGAAACCCCCATTTACATTATTAAACAAGACACGTGAAAACGTAACGAATCACACGGATGAGTCTCACTAAGTCAAACATTTCATGTGTGACTCAGCAAATGCCATGACAAAGCTAAGTGGAAGTCCCAGGCTGTGGGGAACATGAAGAATGCAACTTTCAAAGCAGAGCCTAGAAACCAAGGGGCACACCTCCGTAGCAGAGGGCAAGCACCAATGAAAGGCATTCTTCCAAGTCGGTGTTGAAAGATCCAAAACCAGCTCAATAAAAAATGAAAAGAGGGCACAAAAAGTCAGTCACAAGGAGGGGAAAGTCCACACGCAAACAGGTTTGGAACCTTCCCCAGTAACAACAATCAGTGTGTATATAGTGGCTCACATCCTCAACAGTTAGCGGGGTTGGTGACAGTGGATGGATTCTGCAAAGGCAGCCATGACTGTTTCTGGCCTGATGTGTGGGAATCTCTGAAACCCCTCATTTCCAGAACTGAGTAGACAAGACTCAAACATGAGAATCCTTTGTCTTTGAAAGGATAAAAAAAAAAAAAATCAAGAACATCATAAATAGACAAATATGTCAGAGTCCATTGAACATAGAACACTAGTCATTAACAATAATGTCAGTATATCACAATTGCATGTTCATAAAACATTAATAAGAGGCATGATTTTAAAAAAAAAAATACACATTATTTAGAAGTATTCTGAGTGCTAGAGAACATCGGTTGAGAGCACTGGCTGCTCTTCCAGAGGACAGGGGTTCAATTCCCAGCACCCACATGGCAGCTCACAACTGTCTGCAACTCCAGTTCCAGGGGATTAGATGTCCTCTTCTGGCCTTCTCAGGAAACCACACATACAAGTAGTGCACAAATATTCATGCATGCAAAACATAAATTTTAATATACATAAAATTTAAATAAAAAATGTATTTTGTCTGCTCATCATTCATCTATCTAGAAGAGAGAAATATATACACATGCACATAACACACATGTGTATAAATAGTAAAAGAGTAGCTAAATTTGGAAATTTCCATGCTCTTCTTCTGCTTCCCTGTGTTTCTGAGGTTTCCATACTAATCATGTTTTCCACTTTAATTGGAAGAAAATCTGTTAAATATTTTTTTTTCAAAACTGAGATTACATGCTAAGTGCTCTACCACCAGGAACTACAGAAAAATTGAAGTACTTTCCACATAGGATTATAATTTTAGGTCAGCCTCACAGCACATAAAAGGTAAAATGAGATTCCCAAGGACTCAGAGATGCTGGGACTTGGGGGGAGCATCGGCCTCCTGCAGCCCCACCCACACCCACAAACCACTCACACCTGTGATGGTGTTGACCACTGTCCGGAGAATGGTGGGGGGCTTTATCAGTTCTTTGAGGATGTTTGACTCAGTGGCCAAGGGGAACCCGTTGTCCAGCATCTCTTCCAAGACCTCGTAGACCACAACCACATTGTCCTTGATCACTGGCTCTGAGCAGACTCCAAAATAGTCCTAGTGAAGAAGAACAAAAGGATTCATCACTGGGGATGGAGGAAAAAAATGAAACAATATTCCTGAGAGTAAGGACTTGTCTGTCCACGGGGTTTAACCAGCGTGTCCAGGGCATTCTCCCAGGAGAGGACAGGGTAGACCTCGGTCCTCCTGGGCAGCCTGGCTTGGGGGTAACAACACAGGACAGGTGATGGTACCTGTGCTGTCAGTAGCTCCCTCTAAACCAGAGGAAGTCAAGCTCTTTGGGTTGATTTCCTCACTTGATAATATATATATAAAACTTAACCTAGACTAGATATGCTCATATACAAAACGTACGAGCTATGCAAAGTGGTAAAGATTGACATAACACAGAAATATACATAAAACCTTTTAATCCTTCTGCTGTGTACTTTCTTGAAATTCATTCAGAAAATGATGAAAAGGAAGACTACATTAGCTCCGCAGAAGGCCTCTTTAGAGCACCCCTGATGCTGGGATTCTCAAAAGTCTGTCATTTACTTAAAGGGCTAACCTTACATCTAAATTATCTAGAAAAAGCACAGAAAATTATATTCTTCTCATCTTCTCTTTTCCAGCACTCTGGAACAAATCCAGGGGCTCCTGGGTTATAATCCTGTCACTCATTAACTAATTTAGTCTTGATTTAACTGTATAATGTGGGTAACGCTATGCAGACGCATGAGAAAGTTGTGACCCCCAAACCTGGTAAATATGACTAGGGGAGAAAGATGAGTGTTCCGTCAATGGACGTTTCTCAAAGTGTCAGGCCTGGCTCTTACAGGACCTCTAAGATGGTTATACAGTTCCCCGGATGGGAAGGCGCACAGCTGAGAAATCCTCTTCTACTCAAGGACAGTTTGACTGCTAAGCTGAAGTCTGCCTCCCAGTTCCTTGACGCGAAGCCATCTGCAAACACACACCTATTCTTCCTTCTCCAGATCCCACTCCTCAGGGACCTTCACTGCTCAAGCAACGGGATGAGCCTCGGATAATCTCACCACCTGGCCACCAAACTGATTCTGTGAGATGTAGCCTAAACTACAGCAGACACAACGAATATCAGTGAGGGCCCAAGATAAATTCACTCAAGAACAAAGAATATATTCCTAGAACAAAAAAAAAAAAAAATGAGAGCATCATGGAAGGAAAATACCACGTTTCTCTCCCAACAGTGATTGCATTTTAAAAGCAAGCCCTCATTTCAGGGGATTCTGTCAATCAAATACAACACGCAGGGAGCCCTACAGTGCTAGGTACTACAGCAAGAGCAGTTGCAATTCTGCGGCTGGGACTCCAAAACCTTCAAGAACTAGGGGGAAAAATGTTGCAAGAGGCCACACATGAAGCTAGACACTAATTAGCTCCACACTGCTCCACTCTTACTCCTCAAAACCCATCTTTAGTCTACCTTCCAAAATCCCTCTGTCGTTTCAATATTGTGTGGTTGCTAATTTTTCTTTTCTGTGTACAGGTATTATCTAGCTGTGCATATTCATGCAGTGCCCACAGAGGCCAGAATAGGGCACCATATCACCTGGAACTGAAGTTACAGACAGTTGTGAGCCAGTATGTGGGTGCTGGCAATCGAACCTGGGTCCTCTGAAGAGCAGCTAGTGTTTCTTTGTTTTTTTTTGTTTTTTTTTTTGTTTTTTTTTGTTTTTTTTTTTTTTTTTTTTT